GAATCTATTCACTATAATAAAATGTTGCTTAAATCCTTTAGCAAATCTTATGTTTTGCAAACTTTCGGAAGGTTGTGGGTTAGGATGCTTCTAGGAATCGAAGTTTATGCTTTTTAGTGATTGTTAATGGAATTAAATATTTCACTTGTTGTGGGTTACGACTGTTCACCACCAAATGGACGATATGTGGGAAACTAATATTACAATATGCCACAGATTGCGGCGTTTGTTGTCCTGAAGCGTTTAGATCAAGCTAGACAGGCAAGAATGCTGATGAGTTTGAAATTTTTTGCGAGCAATGGTTAGTGGTTTTCAATGATTCTAAGCGTTTGTCTTTTTATCACGTCGTCATCGTTCACTTTTGCTCCTTTTACTAATATTGTCAAAAGCTCAAAGTAATACGCAAAAACTATCGCGCCCGAGAACCACCCATTCTAACGCGTCACCTTTCCGAACCGACAAAGTCGGCGCGCAGGTATCCCGCCATATATAAAAACATGCCGTGTTAGCATGGGCGTGCGATGTATTCTGCTGCACTCTTCCTTGTCGGTTCTTGCCTTTCACACTAATTCTACAGGCAAAGCTTATACATCCATCTTCCTCACACACACACATATGCAATCTGTCTCTGTTCGTGAACATTTATTTGTGTAAACTCAGACGTACGTTCATTAGCTTCGTTTCACAACCTCGAAAATTTTCTCACCAACGTATGAGTATTTGTAATCTATGCTTGACATTGTCAGTGTGATTGAGTTCGTAATATAAAACAGCAGTGCCTGAAAGCACAACGAACGGAAAATATCGATAGTTTTTGCTAAAATTATTGAAGTATATAAAGAAAGTGAATTAAAGTGATGCTCCTTTATTAATCAACCCAAGTGTGCAAGAGCAGCTACGTTTAGAATCGGTTTGCCCACTGTGCAATTTTTTATGGAGTTTCAACTCGGCTCATAGTTTCTGTGATCGTGAACCTTGTAGTTAGACTAAAAGCGAGGTTCTTCTAGGATATAATACCTGAAACACTCAGTATAACCAACCAAAACCCATTGGCCGCTCTGATTCTACAAGTTATTTTACTTTCATGAGTTCCAAGAAATGTTAAAACGAACACCGATAACTAAAAAAACTCGGATTTATCGAAGCACTGCATTTTCTGAATGTATATGTACGTTCCACCATGCCTTTTGTAGAAGATCTTTGGGCCTATATAAACTACAAATCATACAGAATCAATCGGACACTAACTCATAGAACAGTCTTTCTTAAAGAAATGACGACGCAACGGTTAACTTTTACTGTGCCCTTCTCATTTTTTATAAGGACATTCGCTCTCAGAAGCGCTGATGCAGAAGATTCCCGCTCTTTAACTTTCAATTGTCGATACCACTCCTGCTCTACAATTTTCATTCTGAAATCCTGCCTCGAAACGGACATGTTCCTGAACAATTTCGAGGGGCACTAGAAGATAACTGACGCTCAAACTGGGCAGTAGATGAAATAAGTTTGATAACCGTTGTTATAGAACCTCATTTTATAAAATAGAACTTTCTCCATTTTTCATCAAAGTTGAGTCCAATACACGTACTGGTATATCGGAAACATTGGTGCTTAGCGTGATTTCTGTACATTATTTATGTCCTCAACATACCTAGTTAGTGATACAAAATTTATCGCTGAACTCAGGATTAAACAATGCCAAAATTACCCATTCTTCTTCAGATTTCAACCTTGCGTAAAAATTGGATGCCCTGATTTAACATCCTCGGAGGTTGGACCCTAGCAGCTACGCAATAAATTGCAGTGGCGCTCCTAAACGGGCAATATTTTTCTGTCCCGGCTATTTTCAAGTATTGCTATCAGATTTCCAAATTGGTGAAATTCTATTTAATGGTACTGTAAGTGATGATATGTCCAAAATACAAAATTTTCAGAAAAAAAACGATTTATCTCAAAACTAATAATTTACTTGAATACTTTTTTGTTAATTACTATTAATAATAGCTTAGAAAATATGCTCTTCACTAAAAAAAATGTGTGCTTGAGTAATCAAATAAAAATAATTAAAAACTGTTGGACATAAGTTGTTTTTGTAGGAAAAAAATGTTCAAAAAATATTACCTTTATTTCAAAAAAGAACAAAATGATTATATACAAACGGATTAAATTCCAGCAAAAAGCACACATGTCCTATCCTGTCGCTGACTTGTGCGATATGGATGAACAGCAGGGGACATAAATATGTGCTTTTTGCAGAAACCTCGAAATTTTGACTATTAAATCTTAGCATTTATTTCGTTTTGCAGAATCTTTTTTTGCGGTCTTAAAAACAAACCTTTTTTTGCACTAAGTGGTGTCACTAACTCAATTTCGTTAAATTTGGTCTGCGGTTTTTGTAAAACTCGCCTCAATTTCATCAGTCATTCTATGCCCGAGTTTGTAGTCATTCTGATGATAAAGTATGCGTCCACACATTGCAGACAATATTGTCAATATACAGGGTATTTGAAATTCGACCCTCACCATAAGGATTTCGGAAACTGTAAGAGATACAAAGTCGCTTAGATAGGGGCAAAGTTGTATATTTAGGTAATTAACAAAATTTCGCTTAGAATGTTTCACAGAGAGACGGAAAAAACCGAATATTCCAGAAATCGTTTTTAAATTTTCCCTGACCTTACCTGTAGTGGGATTTCAAAATAAACTATACATTAACATTGCCATTTTTCGCATCTACAAGATAGCATTGCAGACAATATTGTCAATATACAGAGCATTTGAAATTCGACCCTCACCATAAGGATTTCGGAAACTGTAAGAGATACAAAGTCGCTTAGATAGGGGCAAAGTTGTATATTTAGGTAACTAACAAAATTTCGCTTAGAATGTTTCTCAGAGGGACGGAAAAAACCGAATATTCCAAAAATCGTTTTTAAATTTTCCCTGACCTTACCTGTAGTGGGATTTCAAAATAAACTATACATTAACATTGCCATTTTTTCGCATCTACAAGATAGCATAATTATAATTGCAATATGACGTTTCGTCTCTTGTCCTCCAGCATCAACTTTATATTTTCTTATGGACGCCATATTAAATTTTTGCTCAGATGAATAGAGTTTTTAATTCTGATTTCAAAAATGTATCTCTCACAGTTTCCGAGATCCCAAAGGTAAGGGACGAATTTGAAGCACCTAGTATAGAATAGGATAATATTTTATTTGTGTGAGCCTGAACAGCATACAAAATATCCTAAACAAAATCGACGATGTAAATAATTAATACATAACATGAAAGATTTAGGATACAGAAGCATATAAAATGCCAAAACATTACTCGCACAAAAAATCATTTTTACTATAAAACTCATTTAGAAAGATGTTCCTAAGTTTACTTTTAAGCAATAATAAGCTGGTAATCTACTTGATATCTGAAGCTGGTTTATTATCATGGTACTACATAAGTACATCGGACACTTTCTGTAAACAATGAGATTGAAATTTTACATATGAATACAGTTATTATGTCTAGTATTGAAGGCGTGTATGTCACTGCTCTGGGGGAATAAATCTGTGGTTTCTTTAACAAATGACTCGTAGATCAATATTGACGGTGCGTTAAAATTTGATTCTCTTCAAGGGTCGTATCGTCAGTCGTTCCTACAATAATTGTAGGACGCCTTTATGGCCTTCTTGATTTTCATAGTTTTGTACTGTTTCGTGTCAGTGCTCTACTTTGAGGTTATGTCACAAATATCTGTTTGCATCAAATTGTTCATGCCTTTGATTTATATCTTGTTTTGTCAGTCTGAAATTTCCTACAATTCAATAGGAGAGCGCTGACGCTGACACAGAACAGTAGAAATCTAGAAATACCCCACCCTTTCGGAAGGAAGGAAAAACTCGTACTATGAAAATCAAGGAGCCCATAAAGGCGATCTACAATTGTAAAAACCACTCACGATACAGTTCTAAATACTGGTCTACAATGGATTGAGACCAAAGACTAATCTAATGGATTTTTTTTGTAGAATGAATGCCCCAAGAAATGCCCCAATATACATATAATCAGGTCTCTCATGTATCTAGAAGATACCTACGATTAACAAGTCCCATAGGTTTATCAATGCAAAGTAAGCTCAGTTGCGCTTAGTAGTCACATACCCTATGTGTGTGTTTTCCGAGAAAGTCTTTCGTTCATGTAAAGACCCAGAAATTTGGGACTTTTTACCTCCTCTATATACTATATACTTCGTTTTGGATGTGTATTCTCATTCAACTTGTTATCCGCAATCCACTCTGGAAATTTTCGTGAAATTATGTTTGCGTTATTTTCGAGTTGTTCGGGTGAACTTCCGCTTATACTGATCCTGTGACGTCTTCATTAACCAAGCTCCCACTCAGAGCGTTTATGAAGAGCAGGAACAAGAGAGATGATCATCCCTGAGGAACCCCCCAGTTTATTTAAAATGTATCTCATGTGGTATCTCTTACTCTTGCTTTTATACTCGGTATATAGTTGATATATCTGAGATATATAGATGAAACTCCATTTTGAATTCAAAAATAAATGGGTAACTATCATTCTATTATTGTAACAGTGAAAGATATCGAGATGTTACATGACAAGCATATCGCGGATATTGATGCAACTCATCTTTGTCCGTTTGTCTTTCTATCGTCTATCGCTCGGGCTTTGATGATAGTTTGTAGGTCTGGAAGATAGATCCATTGGTTGGCGGAGTGACGGGCTAAAAATGAAAAATCTTACAACGTTTTTAAGCTCCATATTCCATTGTTTTCTGTGATGCTCAAACGCAGTTAACAATTTTTCTGGAGGAATTATAATCTTCAAGACACCAAAACTTCACTTCACTTAAGGTCATATCAAATAAATAAGAGGGATCAAAAACATTGATATTTGATATTTTGCTTATTATTGAAAACGCTTAGAATGTGCAGCTGAAATGCTAAAGTACTTGACTCAATTTTTTATTCCAGACTCGAGGCCGAATCATCATGCTGCGGCGTTACAGGTCCCGCAGACTACAACTCCACCTTCGTGCAGCTGCCTCTACCGGCGAGCTGTTGTCTCCGTCCCCCTGAAGGCGGGACATCGTACGTCATTAGCCCCACCCCTTCGCTCAATGGCAACGCCTCCGCGGTGGCATCAGCTCAGCCTGTCACGTGTGAGCACCACCAGCACGGATGCGACGACACTATTCTGGCGTATCTCAGAGCAACTGCCAGTCTTCTGGCCATACTGGGGTTCTGCGTGTTAGCCTTCCTCAAGATGTGCTTCCTAGGTGAGTTGAATTCATAGAAGAATCATCTTTTTGAATATTGTAAATCAATTTGTACAGGATGCCTAATGATTTCTGTCAAGCACCTTTAGTCTAGTACTGAAACTAAAGCGTATCCTGCCAAATACAGGCTGGCCAATATATAAGTGACCGATTTAAATTGCGCGCCATTTTTGATACACGCATTTTAGTAGGTGGTGTCGTTGTAGTTGCTTAAAGCACATGTGTCCAATTCATCATGGAGCGCTACACGATCCCACAAATTTCACTTATTCCATATCAAAAGCTCGAAATGGTCCTAATACGCTGAAGCCAATTTTTTATGGATTGTTTAATAATAGCACAATGATGATTCTCTTAAAATCCTGCCTCTTAACAGAAAAAAAAATTATACGGATGGCACAATTTTCATAAGATCACGGGAGCCACATACTGTAGAAACGCGAAGGAAAATACAACTTTTATTAGCTCTTACATAATATTAAGAGTAAAACTTACAGGTTTTAAAAATCATCAACGAACTAAATTTTGATATACTAGTAAGTCTAGTTGAGGCTTTTTTATACTGTCTCGATGGTTTTTATGGTAACTTTGATGTCGTGATGTTAAGATCGTAGAAATATACGTTGTTGTAAGGAAACTGGTGTCCTTATATATTTTTATTATACTCATCGGTAAGTCAGTATTGAAACAAATTAATTTTTTGACGTCAAATAATAGAAGCGCGACATTGGTTATTTGCACGTGTCAAACAGTACACGTCTGTTCCCTTTGCGTCGCAGTCGTTTGATGTGTAATGGAACCCAAAGTCTTGCTTCCCTTCCCCTTAATGAGCATACACCTTGAAGTAGAAACTCTTAGGTCCAACTTTACCATTGACCCGCGGGAATCAAAATTTGCGACCTACACGCAAATTCGACCATTCAAAAAGAAGGATGTATCAAAACTGATACAATAACTAGATTGATTTGACAGCAACTACTGAGCCTTCTATTAAACGTCAGAGTGTCACTACTTTTTTATTGTTTATTTTGTGGATGGACATTTTACGAGTAAAGTGTTAAGATAGCTTATGCTAAACGTCGCCCCATAAAAACGTTTTAAACTATTAGTTTGCATCTTCATCAGCTAGGAAGGACGTGGAAGTTAAGCAAATGGGTCACACATGAACTCACAAATGATAACATATTAAGTCGTATTATCACTTGTTCAGCAAACATTTCACGCAACGCTAATGAACCATTTCTTAATCGAATATTAACCTGCGACGAAAAATGGATCTTGTATTCGAATTCTAAGCGACTAAGCGTTCGTATCATTGGTTGTCGCCTACTGATTCGGTACCACACACGCCCAAGACTTCCTTGCACCCAAACAATTTTTTGTTGTGTGTTTGGTGGACAGCAACTGGAATTGTCCATTATGAGTTTTCGGAAAGAGGTCAAACCATCAGTGCTAACTTGTATTGTGAGCAGCTTCAACGAGTACAAGCAGCACCCATCCAGAAACAGACTTCTTTAATCAGTCGAAAAAAAGTGATATTCTTGCAGGATAAAGCCAAGCCTCATACCGCAAAAGTGACCCGAGACAACATTTCTGAACTCGGCTGGGAAACGTTACCGCACCCGCCATATACTCCCGACATTTCGCCCAGTGATTATCACCTTTTTTTGTCTCTCGACAACTGTATGATGCACCGACAGTTCACAATTCGAGATGGTGTAATAAATGCAATCCGCCAATTTTTTTTACTCCAAATCCAGGGAGTTCTACAATACCGTCATACAGAAATTGGTTTCACGTTGGCAAAACGTCATTGAATGTGATGGTAATTAGTTCCACGAATAAATAGTGTCTTATTGTTTCTCAATAAAAGTTTATAGGTTTCTACTAAAAACCGCACGAACTTATTTGGTTACCTGAGAGTATTACAGAATAGTTATTCTTTAAAAAGCATCGAGTAAATATTGAATTTACTTATTATCGTATGAAAAGCCCTGTTTTCTTATGCTCAACACGTGTTTATAGCTAATTTTTCTGATATATTACAGAGAGCCAGTGATATCGCTGGCGCCCTCTATTGGAGGATGGTAAGGTACGGTTATTTAGTTACAAAGAAAGAGGGCTTAACTCAAGGGAGTTTACTCGATGTTTGTTAGAGAATGATAATTCTGTAATTTTATTTATATCTTCAAATAAAGCAGAATTTTGTACAACAAGGATGACAACCAATGATTTAGTTTGAGTGACCTAATACAAATCTACAACGAAAGAAGTAGGCTTATGCAACTAACCTCAATGGGCATGTTGCTGGATTGCTGGAAAATATATCCAAAAATTATTCTCAATAAGACGCCCAGTAGTCCATCTAAATGGTGTATCAAGTTTGATCCATACATCAAGCAAGGCGCAAAACCTTTTTGATTGGTTGAATGTGAGACTAGGTCACCAATCCTTCTTTTTGGTCAGTGGAAAACGTATCTTAATCGCAAATATTGTTAATGAAAAACGTTTTAACCGCTAAACTAGACGATGAAGTATTTCTTGATTCAGTTTGGGCATTATGGGCCCATCATACACACATCGTAAAATGTTTGTCTAGTCTGAAGAAAAATTGACCATATTCATTAGATTCACTACTTCAAAAATGCCTTCTATTTGGTCAACCGCAAACTCTGCGCCCCCAATTAGTAAAATCGGCTCTTAGGGACATACTACAGGGTCTGTCAGAAAGAGCGCATGTTTTTTAAATGAGTAGTACAGTCATAATAAGTATGGGAAAAAATATTTTATTATATCAAAATACTCAGAAATACATGCCATTTTTTGAGTGAAACAAAATTTACGAACTAAACACTATGTCGCCATATGGAGTCCTTGAGCCGAAACGCAGGAATCTGGCGATGGAACACGTGTGCATACAATATGCACACATTCTGGCTCCGCCTACGAGATCCGCCGGATGGTACCTCCACGTTCGACAGTCAAACCGTCTACCACCTACAGACAATCACAACATCCATAGCCAAGAGAATAATTTCACTTGGAACGGGATTCGAACCCGAACTGATCTGGATGCCGAAGAGTCTACCACTGCAGCCACCACTGCTGCCTAATATACATAAACTTAACGTTATTTGTACATTCTATATAGATCCAACAAATTTGCCTACATAGATTGGGACAACACGTATATAGAGTCTATATCATATTAGACCAAAATACCCCTGGTTTGCGAAATAATTGTAAAATCTGGTTTTATTGCTGCAACAATTTCGTATAACTCCCAAAGAACACGTTTTCTCATTATTTGTTGTCAAATAAAAAGTATCCCACAAAAATTGGTGTACTCATTTTATGCGTCCATGTTCTAAATACCCCCTTGAACAACTTGCACCAACAAAACCAGACTTTACAATTATTTCGGGAAAATTTGCTAATATGATTAGACTAATAGTAAAATACGTCACAATACCTTTTTTGATGTGTTACTTTTAAAGCCTCTGAAAACTTGATTTCAAAATATACTCAGTGATATTAGAAACGTTACACCCAGAAAAAATAATATCATCAACTTGATTTTTTGGCAACAAGGTAGTGTTACGTCAAGAATCAAACGCTAACATTCTCACGAAATTTTATTGACAAGTAATAAGAAAGAAAGTATCTGTACTACTCAGCTTGTAAAGAAAGCTCTTTCTCTCAGAAACTACTTTCTTCACAAAAAACATTTTAACAAAGGTAAACAAAACCAAAGATAAAACGTTGACATTGTTGCCACAGCATGCTTTAAATATAGTCATTACGTTGCCAAAAGAACGAGTTGAAGAAATTATTTTTTCTGCAACGAAGAAATGTTTATAACATTTTTTTTTCAGGCATCTTACGGTACGAGATCCGTGAGATGATCCAGAAGATACGGTTGCTCCGTTCAGAGCTGGAACTGCCTAACGCGAACGGGGCGGTGCCTAGCTGCCTGATACAGCACGCTCCCGCCTCCGGGGGCGGCGGTCTGCTTAGGCACGCAAATGACATGAGAGCCGCGGCGGCTGCAGCGGCCGCGGCAGCTGCGAACACGCAGACAATGTACAGGGTGAGTACTGATTTTTAACTGCCGCATGCTTTTAGCAGCTGAATTCACAGATTTACAGTTTAGCAAGAGTTTTAAAAGTAGATGAAGTCCATGGCAGTTTAGCTAGAAGGAAAAATTATACAAGGTGGCACAGAAGTGATCTTATAATTTGAACTGACTGTCGTTTTGTTATAATTGAAAGAAAGAGCTCTGTTTCAATAAAAGGTGTATTTGAAAGTGTAAAATTGATAGACGGATGATTGGAAAAAATTATATGATCATCTGGCTCCAAATTGGTGAATGTTTCTTCAAAGTTAGCTTTCGAGACTTACAAAGTTCGTGGTTTGTTGCGTTAGACGCGAGATTATAAAAAACCCGAGAGGAAGAAGTCTGGTGCTGTTAAATCTGGCGGTCTGGATGGCCAGTTCAAATCAAGAAATTGCTCCGCCCTGTTGTTACAAACAATGATCGATACCCAATGCATCAACTTACGAATAAAAACTCGTTTAGCATCTACTTGTAATGCTGTTACGGTTATGGTGGTGTCATCGGCGTCTTCAAAAAAATAAGGGGCAATCACCTTTTCACTGCAAATGCCGTCCAAACAGTCACTTTGAGGAGATACAATGACTCTTCATGCATTTCATGTGGTTTCTTCGTGTCCAAGAAACGCAAATTTTGTTTAACAGCATAACCCCCTTAAGTGGAAATGGGTTTCGCCGCTCATTATGATTTTTAATACTTAATCATCATCTTCTTGCACCAAGCTCAACAGTATGGCAGTAAGTTAACCTTGTCCGACGGCCAGCAGGCAGCATTTTACACTCATGAGAAGACTATTTTCGAATCTTCCACCAAAACTCGTTGCAGAGAAGGCCTGCTGATGCCTAATTGTTACCGTCGTCGTGTCGTTGATGTTTGTGGATTCTCTCTGACGTCGTCGGCAACAGCTGCGATGTTATCAGCTAAACGAACAATACGAAGCCGATTACTTCTGGCGCCATCTGTAGTGGACCCAGTTTGCATGAGGCGCTCAGCCAAACGCCTAATTATTGTTCGAGCACATGGAAGTCGACGACGAGGAAAACGACGATGAAATTCACACTGCATTAAAGCAACAGACCGAAAATTTCTCAAAGAAGCAGTAACAATAATAGCACGTTCTGAGCTGGGTATCGCTCGATGGCTTTTTGACAACTAATTTTCTACAAGGATTTTTTCGCGAGTCCAGTGCACAGTGCAGTACCGGGAACTTATACTCAAATTTTCGCGAAGAACGGAAATCGGGGAAGTCGGACGTGACGTCATCCAAATGCCAAAAAATCACGTGGTACGGTTAACCGCTTAACGTCGGTGAGGTACTAGCGGGTGACAGGTCTTATGTCAATGTCCCTTAAAAAACAAGCATCTCAATTGAAAATTTTTCTTCGCAATGCCGAAAATTGAGTTAAATTATTGAATCATGAATGGAGAACCAGGTCCACCTGATTTTTAAGTGGCGAAGGAAAAGGTCACCGTAGATATAGGAACCGCACTTGTCACATCAAACGGTTGATTTTATTAATATATATGTACATTACACAAAAAACGATCGTTCCTTCTATTTCAGACTCAAAGAAGGCAGCTAAGTTTATCAAGGAGTATCTTTCACCTGTCAAATGCCGTTCAAAAATTATGGGACCTAGAATACTGTCTCTTAGAATTCCCATCCAACAATTAAAACCAAAACGTTCTTGGAAATTTCCTTTTTCCATTAACTGCAAATTTTCTTTAGACATCTTTTATTATTTCTTTCTTGAAAACGCCTAAAATTATAAATCGACTTTCGTCTGTATAAAGAATTTTATAAGAAAAAGTGTTGTCCTCTTGGTATTTTTGTAAAAATCAGTTGCAATATTCAAGCCATTGTTCATAATCAGCTTCGTAAAGATGCTGGTGTAATTGGTACTTGTAAGACTAACGTAAAATTCTCCACACGGAATTTTTTGATATTTGACACTCGGCAGCAATTTCTCTAGTTGAAGCGTTTATATGAATCTCTAAATACGCCAAAACATCGATTTCTGTGCCCTCGCTCATAATAAAATTATCTTTTTCTGCTACACATTTTTGAAACCAATTTTGGGAAGAAATGCCGCGTTGGATGACGGCGCTCGGGAAATCATTCCGCCTGCATTCTTCAAAAATAAGAAGCATATCAGCTAGTTCGCTTCTTGTATAATTCTGCATTGTTAATTATTAAACTAGGAAAAACAGGCAGAAGGTAGCGTAATAATCTATTAATTTCTTAATAATTTATTTGGAAATCTGACAGATTCATGACAACCGTTCATCGTTTTACCTAAGCCACCTTAGTTTTCTGTCAACGCTGCCGATGCCGGCTACGGCTGGTTGATGCTGTTATGGCAAAATTAATAATAAGGTAACTAATGTGGATTTTTCTAAAATACTTTTAACTAAAATATTTCTTGTGTCATATCAAATTGTGGTTAGAAAAATACTTTTTTTAGCTGTGCTAGTGAGCCACCCTCTTGCCGTTTGAGAAAATTGACGTAAGACCATAAATACGGTTTTACAAACTTTAAACAAGTCTGAAGAGGCTATAAACGATAAAAGACAATCAAATTGAAAATTAAAAATTTATTCATATTATACATCCTGGTAGCATTATAGTACATATATGAACGATCGTTGAAACATGGCGGTCTTATGCTTCGGAAGTGTAGTTCAGTTTTGATCTTATCATTTAATAATGAGTATCTTTGAAAGGTATGAAATGTTTGATCGGACCTGGAGGATTTGGAGTGTTGACCAGTTTATGCGTAAAATTACACAAGTGAAGGTGTCTACTATTTGTCATGTTAAGCCATTCACACTCTCTGATTTTGTCGTAATTCCTAATTCCGTATACCAGCCTACAGCAGCTATTTTGAACCCGTTGTATTTTTGTTATTTCAGCATTAATCAAGCAAGGCTAAAAATGACCATCGTTGTTTCATTCTAGGAAAGCGGAGGAGGTACGGTAGCGAACGAAGCAGGAGATTCTGAACGAGAGGCGTTGCTGTCAACAGCTGCAGCCACGCCCACAATGGGCGCGCACTACCAGCATCAGCAGTACAGGTACGGATTCAGTAGTTCAGTACATTTAGTTTGTATCGTATTTGATTAACTAAAGACATGTCATAGAATGGAAATAATCTCCAAGCTTTTTAGACGTCTCATGATATCTTTATCAAGAAAATCTATATCACTCATTTTCGGTGTTGCTTAGATTGACGGCATTCTGGTAACTATACGTCTTTAGTGGTGACTTATTATGACATATTAACTTTTAAGTTTTAACTAATTAGTATGCTTCATCACGTGTGTGTGTGCTTTAATTGATAGTTATATAGTTATGCAACTATTAAATGTTTTAATTTTCTTTTGCAGATCTGAAAGTGCAGCGGCAGCGTTATCATCGCCTCCTACGCAACTCATGCAGCAGGTGAAAAATCCAAATGGGAACAACAACTATGAGATGCGAGAGTATAGGTAAATACAGATCCCCAAGTATCCGTAATAAATAAGTGATAAATAAAAAATAAATAGGTAATAAGTAATTAATAAATAAATAAATATTAACCCCATAAAACAAATAGCAAGTCAAAAATTAAAATAAATCTCCACATTACATACATATATTCGCTTGAATTATAATTTTTTATTATAAACACCGCTCAGCCAGCATTAGCTTAACTGTTTTTTTAAATATGTTATAATCAGTCAGAGATCGTACATCATGAGGCAACTTATTGTCAAGTACAACACAGTTGTAAAATGGTGAGTTTTCGAATAAAGATGTATTACGATTTTGTGCCAGCAATAAGTGACTCAAGAATCAGTTCTGGAACCACTTATCTTTATTTTGTAGATAGCAGATGGGTACAAACAATGTTGTGAAATTTTGTAGAACTCTGTTTTTTGCTGACGACTTACAATTATATCATAGCTTTAATCATGGAAATTTAGAAATTTCGGAAGCACAAATAATAGACAACCTAAATTCTATGGAAACATTGGTGAACAAAATTAAAATAGCACTCGTTTTTTTCTATTACCCACGGTATTCTTGCAATAAGGCATTTTATTTGCTGCTTATACTCGTAAAATATAAGGATATGTGTGTAAGATTACTAATAAACACTCGGATAAACATTAATCTCAGAATGTTGTTGTCGATCTTTTACGGCGATATGTTGCTCTTGAAGTATCTCTTAACAATGTCCAGCAATGATCAGCAATCAAATGGGCACTAGATTTGCCTTGAAACCCTTTTTCCATAGCAGAAATGTCTTGGTGGAACCATTCACCATGTTCATCACCCGTGGCGACGCGTGACTTTTCCTAAACTGTTACCAAAACCAGATGTGAAAAATCTTATTAAAAAAAGTTTATTTTGAACCTCCCAAATATAATTTTTTGCTTATTTCAGGTATTTTATTTAAACTATTTTCAAATTAAGGTAAACATTCCTGGACTGAGCATCTGGTTCACTTGATATACTCATCGTCTTATGCTATAACTAATCCAAGCCGTCCGAAAAAACCGTCGATGAGTCTAGATGTTCGGATAATTTTTGATCTTTTTTGGCACTTAATGTTTACAATTCCCTGTAATTTCCTCTATTGTCAGAGTCATCATCTTCAAAATGAACGGTAATTCCTGTTTTGCCAAAAAACATACGGTATCTAGAAGTGTGCTGCCTAAAAACTGAATTAAATTGGCTACACATCTCACATGTAACGGAGAAATTTCATGTCTCCTCTTTATAGCCCTAAAACTATTTAAATCGTTGACTGCGCTGCTGGTCCACCCATTTTTTTCTGCATAAAACAGAAGACATCGCCAACAATACAATCTGTTTATTTGCAACCACATAACTAAGAGTTTCCATATACCAACTTAAAATATCAAAGTATGTTTTTTTTGTTCCTCTTTAAAATTATCAAAACTGGTGATGGTCTTCCATTTTCAATGAT